TACCTTCCTTCATCTGTAATTGTATACATGTATGTATAACCACATCAGTGTCATAATTTTTGCTGCAACCTTCAAACATAGTTTAGAACACTCAGGAGGAGAAGAAAAGCATATTACATTTTCCCATATTTTTGCTTACTGTGTTCTTTCTTCCTTCCTGATGTTCCCAATGTTTATTTTGCCATTTCTTTTATGTTTAGAGAATTTCCTTTAGCCATTCTTCTAAGACAAGTCTTCGAACAAATTTCCTTAGTTTTCCTGCTTGTTTTGACTTCCTCTTCATTACTGAAGGATATTTTCACTGGGTGTCACTCCATGACAGACACTGATGTCCTGGAACATGTATTTTCCAAGTCTGAGTTTGTTCTTTTCCCTTTTGCAAATTAATTCATAGGCCTCCTCGAAAGATGTTGTTAGGCAACTGTGTCAAGAGAGCTTTTCCAGTTCATCCCTTGACTCAAAAAAACTCTTGGATATCACGTGTTCCAAGTTGTCTGTGACCCAGGAGGAGGCAGATCAAGTAAGTATGGTCAGAAATGCCCTGTGACCCCTGAGCCCTCTTAACTTGTTCATCTCTTTCCTCACGTCCCAGCCATTGCCATGTCCGAGGACACTTTCCCCCTGAAATGTCTGTTAATGTTACAGCAAACTTCAAGTAGACTGATTTTTTTTTTTTCAATCTTAGTCAATTTAAAAGCTACTGGTTTTGAACCCTTCCCCATGGTAAAGGGGACATGGATGGAAGTACTATACCCAGAATCAGAGTCCCTGACCAATTCCCTTCCCAGACTAGTTACCTAGACAGTGTTTATAAAGAGACAGCATTTTTGTGATTTTTTTCCAATTCTGTAACATGCTGAGACTGATAAAGTATCAGCTGAATATCTGAGGGCAGACTTGTTGGGGATCTTTGGGCAGCTTCTACTTTGAGGCCTAAGAAAGACATTAGGGAGAGCAGTCTGCTGGGTCCCACTCAGGCTCCCTCCCTGGTGCCTTGTTTTGACCAGAGTCCCCCCTTCCTCACGCCTGTGCCCGCCATGAAACTCCCATCTTCTCAGTTCTCCTGATCTCAGCTGGTGGCCAAGAGCGAGAGGAAGGTGATTCCTGTTATGTGGCACTGACAGCCTTATCATTCCAGGGAAAATATATTTCTGAAACAAGAGTTGATTCATCAAAATGGGCCGGGCCTATGTCAAATTTTTAAAATCTCGTTGGAGCGTTAATCATTCAAGCCAGCTGTAGAAAAGTAAAAGGCAGAAGCAAGATTCCAGAAGTGTGCTGGAGGCTTACTTTGTGTTCTCCTAAAAGTAGGCCTTGAGGCAAGAACTTGGCTGCAGGCAGTTATTTAGGAGGTGACTCTGGGCACACAAAGGAAAGTGGGCAAAATTAAATTGGAGGGAAGGCCAATGAAAGGGTATGCTAATGAGTGGTGACTGCGAGGACAACTGGGATTCTGTCATCTCTGGGATCCTGAAAGGTACTCTGGGGAGTAGTGCCTAAGGCACTTGACTGCTAACCGGAAGGCTGGCACTCAAACCCACCAGCCATTCCTCAGAAGGAAGATGGGGCAATCTAGTTCTGTAGTGATTCCACCTCGGAAACCCAAGGAGGGGTTGCTGTGAGTCGGATCCGACTTGACAGCAGTGAGTTTGAGTTTTTTGGAAGATAGTTTGTGAAAAGGGCCCTGGTAGTGCCTCATTAAGTGCTCAGTTGCTAACTGAAAGCTTCGTGGTTTGAACCCACCCAGCGGCTCCACAGAAGACCTGGTGATCTGCTTCTGTAATGATTACAGCCAAGAAAACCCTATGGGGCAGCAATAGCCTGTCACATGGAGTTGCTATGAGTCATAATTGACTGGACAGCATCTCACAACAAGATACCATGTGGAACTCACCTCAGCATGTCCTACTGGAGGGCAGGAGGCAGGAGTATTTATTACTAACTCCCACACCTCATTGGTCAAGGGTTAACTTCCCTGCATTTCTGGGTGGTGCCTGCGTGCAACCAAGCAAGTTCCCTTGGTATCATTTTGTCAGGCCCTAAAGCAGAGCAGCATCTGGAGAGTCTTCTTAGGTTCCACTGGGCATTGATATTCACAAGATTACCATAGAGTTAACGTTGGCTCCAGATTCACTTAGAAGGCTATGGAGTGGGGACTGTTCTCACACAGGAAGGCCTCAAGGCAGTAGTCCACGCAGTCAACCAGGACCTGTTCTCTGTGTCCTCCCAGATGATAGCTTAAGTACAGGGACATGAGGCCCATATCCCACAGGAGCTGGTAGCTCTTGTAATGGTCATGTCAGTACAGCTTCAGGTTCTCTCAAGGAGCCCATGTCCACACTGAAAGAAGCCCAGGGCTATGGATCCCACCAGGTGTTTGCACAGTCCTCCCAGTCCAGACTGACAAAAGTCTACCCTGGAGCAGTTGCCTAGTAACTACCAGCTGACAGTATACTTCTGTCAGGTTACCAGGGGAATGGTACTAGAAAGTTAGCTGAAGGTCTCATTCTCATTCAGAAGGAAAAGGCATTTGTTGACCCTTTACCCACAAGCAGAGAGTAAACTGGCAGCTTCCTATGTTTTCTGTAGTGACAAGTGAACATAGAGGTGAACCAAATATGTGGGGCATCAGCAGCATCAGTCACTGAGGTCTCAAGGCTCAGTTGACTTACTTGAATGACTGTGGGAATATATGGCAGGCCTTCTACCAGCAATGGGGGTGATAGAGCCCTGACTTTGGCCCCTGCCGCCTGCCAGGCTTCTTCTCACCACCAGGGCTGCCCTATTTCTCCTGCAGCTACTCCATGCTCTGCACCACCTCACAAGGCTGGCAGTGTTCCGGGACCTGTCCTCTGCCGAGGCAATTCTGGCTCTCTTTCCTGAAAATTTCCACCAAAACCTCAAAAACCTGCTGACAAAAATCATCCTAGAACACATGTAAGTGGTTATTTCTTGAGCATTGGTTCCATTTAACTTTTATTTATTCATTATTTATTTGTATTCCTGTTCTAGAAAAAGCCCTAGTAGTACAGTGGTTAAGCACTTGACTGCTAACTTAAAGGTCTGCGATTCGAACCCACCAGCTGCTCTGCGGGAAAAAGATGAAGCAGTCTGCTTCTGTAAAGATTACAGCCTTGGAAACCCTGTCAAGCGGTTCCACTCTGTCCTGTAGAGTCACTGTGGTCGGAATTGACTCAATGGCAATGGATTTCGTTTGGGTTTTTATTCTAGAAGTAATAATATGTTCATTGTTGAAAAGGAAAAAAGCACAGATAAGCAAAGAGAAGAAAATAGGACATTCATCATCCCACCACCCAAAGGTTAGCAATATTCCTTAGCAGAAAGCCTTTTAGGACCTGTTTGTTGATTTTTTCCATTTACACAGATAGAAATTGGTGTTTTGTTTTTATTTTTGACAAAATGGTTGCATGCCATTTTACAACTTGCTTATTATCAGTTAACAGTGTTAGCATTAATGGCATTTTAGATCAATAAATGTTTACCTCTAATATCACTTTTAATGGCTAACTGTATCCCATTTTATGAAGAAATTATGTATAATTTAGAACTTCCTTGGTGACCCATGACAGTTCACTGAACAAGGAAGGGCAGCTTTCCCCTGGGGAAGGTATTCTAAATAGATTAACTGTAGACCCCCAACACCTATATTACCTTGCTAATTATATATCTTTGACAATGCTTCACTGAATATTTTTCTTTTGCTTTTGGTCATTCTGGAGGTCACATGCCTTAAGTTACCTGGGAAGTTACCTTTAGATTGTCATGGTGTTTTTCATAGTTAGAGAGTTTTTGATTTCCAGGCCTGCCTAATTTCATCACCCTCCAAAAAAAAGTCTTGGAGAAGACATCAGTTAAAAGACTTGTAAGAACCTCCATTGGAATATATGAAACCTAATTCTCCTCACCAATCTGTATGCAGCCAAAATAGAACGTGTTAAACCTTAAGATACATTTGTCACAGATTCAAGGAACTAAAACACTCACTGGGACTTGAAATGCCAAAGTGGGCAGAAGCAGACAAGCTTTTCCAAGGTCATAGACTTTGAAGTCACTGGATTTTGTTTAAATACTGCTTTTGAAGTTTCTTTATGTTGGTAACTTTGGGTTTATTTAACTGGTAAGAATTCTCAGTACAGAGTATGGATATATTTGCTCTCTGTTTTCATATGTATCACTTTTCTTTGCATGCCTTTAGGTTCTATGAACTAATGGTTTTTCTTTAGTGAAAAAATGTTACTGACATTAAAAAAAAAAAAAAAAAAAAAAAGAACATCCTTGGTACCTCAACAAAGAACAAAGAGATCCCTGAGAAAGAAATAAGGCAAATAGCACCATTTACAATTTATACTTAGAATGGCTACTGCAAAAATGACAAGGAGGCCACATGTTCTGACCTCCTCTAATTCCACAAAGGGAAGACAGGGTTACCAGCAGTAACCCAAGGCCTATTACTGCCAGGCCAGACATGTTGCCTCCCTCCAGTCCTTTCTCCAACCGTTCCTCCCAGAGCACCCACCACCTCTCTCCTGGGTTCGATAATTCACTGCAGTGGCCACACAGAACTCACGGATTACGGGGTTTATTAGGGAAGCACCAGGCTACAACTCAAGTTCAGGAAGAACACTCAGTCTCTCTCCCAGCCCACCGTCCCTCAGCCACCAGTCTCTCACAGTCTCTTTCCCAGCAGTGCTGGTCCCTCGGTGTCTCACTCAGCGATGCATGTCTCTTGCGTCTCTTTCCCAGCAGTGCGTGTCTCTTTCAGGGGCGCATGTCTCTTTCAGCAGCACGTCTTCCTCCACCAGCAATCAGAGAGAGCGTTCTGCCTCCAGGAGGCTTCCTTTTGCTCCCGGAAGGGTGGTCAAACTAGCCAATCACAGCATCAGAACTCTAAGCACGTGAGAGAGAGTGAGAACCTCCCAGAACATTGTATTGTGCCACGCCCAACAGAAATACTCCAGGTGGGCGACTTTAAAATCAGGATCTCCTCAGTTGCTAATAGCAATTCCCACCTTGGAGTTTACAAAGACTTATGGGTAGAAAAGCCACACTAAGTAATTTACTACACCGCAGCTACCAACAATACTTAGAAATAAATACCAGGGATACAAAAGACTTATACAAAGAAAACTACAAAACAGTACTACAAGAAACTATAAGAGACCTATGAAGAGCATATCATGCTCATGGATAGGAAGACTAAACATTGTGAAAATGTCAGTACTACCCAAAGCAATCTGTAGATTCAATGCAATCCCAATCCAGATTCCATCAACATTCTTTAAGAATGTAGAAAAACCAATCACTGGTTTTATATGGAAAGGAAAGAGACCTTAGATAAGCAAAGCGCTACTGAAAAAAGCAGAATAGGAGGTCTCACACTCCCCAGCCTCAAAATTTACTGTATAGCCATGGTAGTCAAAGCAGCCTGGTATTAGTACAGTGACAGAGACACAGCCCAGTGGAATGGAATTGATACACCAAAAACAGATCCATCCACTTAGGAACAGCTGATCTTTGACAAAGGGCCAAAACCTATTAAATGAGGAAGAGATAGTCTCTTTAACAAATGGTGCTGGTAAAATTGGATATCCATTTGCAGAAAAATGAAACATGACCCATATGTCACACTGTACACAAAAACTAGCTCAAGATGTATCAAAGGCCTAAATGTAAAACCACCTAAAACTATAAAGTTCATCAAAGAAAAAATAATGGCAAACCTAGGCACCTAATTTATGGCATAAATAACCTATCAGACTTAACCAAAGAAACAAACAAACAGCAGAAGATAAACTAGATAACTGGGACCTTCTAAAAAGTAAATTCTTATGAACATCAAAAAACTTTTCCAAGAGAACCTACAGATTGGAGGAAAATATTTGGCAACTACATATCCAACAAAGGACTTATCTCTGAAATTATAGAAAACTTCAACACTTCAACATTAAAAAGATAAACAATCCATTAAAAAATGGGCAGAGGACACGAACAGATACTTCATCAAAGAAGATATTCAGGCATCTGACATGCACATGAGGAAATATTTGTGATCATTAGCCATTGTTGTTGTCAGTTGGGTTTCTGAGGCAGTTATCACTACAGAAGTAGATTGCCCAACCTTCCTTCTGAGGAATAGCTGGTGGGTGTGAACTGCCACCCTTCTAGTTGGCAGTCATTAGAGAGATGCAAATAAAAACAACAGTGAGATATCATCTCACTCCAGCAATAATAGGAAAGTTCAATGAGATGGAAAACAACAAATACTGGTGAGAGTGTGGAGAGATTGGAACTCTCATACACTGCTGGTGGGACTGGAAGATGGTATAACACTACCTTAAAAGGTTGGAAATAGAAATAACATTTGATCCAGCAATCCCACTAAAAAAAACCAAACTCACTGCCATTGAATTGATTCTGACTTGTAGCAATGCCCTGTGGGTTTCCAAGGCAGTAAATCTTTATGGAAGTAGATTGCCCACTCTTCCTTCCACAGAGTAGCTGGTGGGTTTGAACAGTGAACCTTCTGGTTAGTAGTCAAATGCCTTAGGCACTATGCCACCAGAGCTCCTACTAGGTATAAATCCTAAAGAAGTGAGAGCTAGAACATGAATAGATATGTGCACACTCATGTTCATCACAACACTATTCACAATAGCAAAGAGATGGAAACAATTCATATCCATCAGTTTTAAAGTTTGGGTAGTACTGCTTCGGGTAGTACTGGGTTAAAGTTGATGGGCATATTGAGGGTTGGCTTTATATTACCAGTTTTCTCAGAGAGATTGCACCAACTGTTTTTCCAGCAGCAGGAAACAAGTGTATATCTCTCCCCACATCTTTACCAACACTGAGGGATTTTCTTTCCTTACACTCCTTTCTGGTTTCACACATGGCAAATGGTGCCTCATTTCAACTTACATATCTTTGGTACTAATGATAAAAAATATGTTTTTCATATGTTTATGGGTCATTTTTATTTCTTTTGTGAATTATCTGTATATTTCCTTGTCTGAGAAGATTCTTTTAAATACACATAAAACAGAACTCACTATTGGTTAGCAGATTTCAGCAGACCTCTCTAATAACCGATAATGCCTATTTACAAAAGGTTTTGTTGTTTATGAAGAACTTTCTCATACATGACCACATTTATTCTGACTCTGTTGGTATTGCCTTAGGTTGTGATTTGTTGTAGTGTTAGGTCTGTTTAGGTGTGTTTGGGCATAAGGCTGCAATACTTTGGATAGTAGGTGCTCAGTAAAAAGAGGATAAGTTGACCTTTTCTCTGTTTTGTCTCTGAGAACAATAGCACAATAAGATTATGGTGCTGTTTGTTTTCCCCCTTAAGCTGTGAGAACTCCCAACTAACAGCACTTAAGGCCTTAACATCTCTGTGCTTGTAAAACACATAAAACACTGCTTCTTGGAGAAGGGATTTCTGTAGTCCTTTCCTGCCAGGAGGCACACTGATGGTGCAGTGGTTACAGCATTCAGCTGCTAACCAAAAGGTCAGCAGTTCAAACCCCCCAACTGCTCTGAGGGACAGGGATGAGATAGTCTGCTTCAGTAAAGATTTACAGTCTTGGAAACCTAGGGGACAATTCTACTCTGTCCAGTAGGGTCACTGTGAGTCAGAATCAGCTGGATGGTGGTGGGTTGGATTTGATTTTCTGTGTCAGGGGGTGAGTACAGGTCAGAAGATCACAGGAAGAGCAGAGACCCCAGTTCAGGGGCCTCTCTCATCACAAGCTCAATTCTCATCTTTTTCCCATTGTTTCCCCTCACCCTTTCCTCCTGAGCAGATCTACATGGAGAACAGAAGCCCAGGAAAGTCAGAGTGAGTACAGAGATGTTGCCCTGCCCCTCCTGACCCCTCCCCCTAGCCCCTGTTCAGAATCTGCCTGATGGCTGGTCTTTAACCAAAAACCACAGTGACCTATTCTAACCCCAAACCACACAGTGTGTGTTGTGACTTCTGTTTTTAATTTTTTCTGGTTACAAATTTAACATACACATATTTCTAAAAAATTTTAAAAAATACAGAAATAGACAAAGCAGAAAGCAATACTTAAACTTACATTTCAGTTGGAGAAAAATGAACACTCATTGAAATCAGTTCCAAAGAGTGAAGAAAAGTATGCGTTCAGCGCATTTACCTGGAGCCAGTCACAGTGCTAGAAGCTCTGGTAGCATAGTGCCTAAGGCACTTGACTGCTAACTGGAATGCTGGTGGTTCAAACCCATCAGCCAGCCACTCCTCGAAGGAAGATGGGGCCATCTACTTCCATAGTGATACTGCCTCGGAAACCCAAGGAGGGGTCGCTATGAGTCGGGGCCGACTTGACGGCACATAACAGCAGCAGTAAGTCACAGTGCTGGGATACCTTACCTGCCTTAACTCCTTCACTCTTCCCAGCAACCCTGTGGAGGGCATAAAATCAGTCCCATTTTATAGATAAGGAAACTCAGGTTCAGAGGTTAGATAAGTGGTAGAACCTCAGTTCAAGCTATGTCCATGTGACTCTTAAATAAGCTACACATTTCCTAGGACACAGGCCATGACCGCATCTTCTCTTTGTGTCATTTCTTATTCTCTCCTGACAGAGACAGAAGGGATAGGTGTTTAGGCTGAATGAGTATTGAGTGCATGTGGCCTAGAGCAGTGATAGGGCACATGCCTTGCTGTTGGGTCTGGGACATTGCTTTGTGGATGAAATGAGTTGCCAGAGAGAAATGGCTTGGTGAATGCAGACAGTACATTCCCTGAGCTGAGCTGTCCCCTCCACAGTCTCCCTGCCACGCCTTGTCGACCTGGACTGGAGAGTGGACATCAAAACCTCCTCAGACAGCATCAGTCGGATGGCAGTGCCCACCTGCCTGCTCCAGATGAAGGTACTGCAACTATTCTCATTAGGAAGAAAGAAGAGGCCAGGACTTGGCACCCTCGCAGGCCACCTACAATACCAATCTCCAGTCTTTAATGATCTTTAATCCCTTAAATGAGAAACCATTCAGCACTTCCTCAAATGTGTACACAGTTAGTCCTCGATTTATGATGAGGTTCCATTCCAAATTCCATCGTAAGTTGGTTCTGAGGAAGTTGAGTACCTCTTTATTTTTTTTAGTTTTCATTATTGTTATTGCCTTTTATTCTCATTATCCTTATAAATACGATCTTTGAACATCTACAAGTGAACATCTGAGAATGATAACATCAGCAAATTATACACTGCAGCATCAAAACATAATACGTATTACAGTAAGATGTACCAAAAACAAAAAGTTATAAGTGCAGTTCATTGTAACTGGGATACATCATAAGTTGGGGACTACCTGTGTTTGTTTACAAAGTATATATGTACTACAGTATTAACATATTATAGACATGTACAGAAAGTAGAAATTTTACAAGGATGGAATAAACACTAAACAAGTAATAGTTTTTAAATGATTTCCTAAATACTTAGAAATACCGTATCCACTTAGAGGGAGGTAGCTGTGTGTGTTCTGATTTCAAATAACCTTCTTGATAATTTCAGTACATTTTAGCCAATTTCTTGTCAGTTACAATTAGATTGCCACTACACCTATTCCTCACTTATTAACTAATTATCTGACCTTTTGCATTTACAATAATAGTTAAAATAAATCTATGCAACTATTTTACACATTAATGATATACACCTGGCAGTCATGAATACTGAGGTGCAAGGTGAAATAATGCTGGCTCTGATGGTTCAGGTTATGTATCAGCTTGGCTGGGCCCTGATCCCAGTGGTTTGGCAGTTATGTAATGATGTAATCACCCTCTATTTTGTGATCTGATGGCCATCCTCCATTTTCAAGTAATTACCTGGTCTTTGGAACCAAGCCATGTTGGTAAGTGAGGAGTGGGTGTATTTGTTACATATCCGAACAAAAGCACCTGCTAGCAGTTGGAGAAGTTTCAAGGCTTCCTTTTCTTGCCATTCACTGATCTTTGCATCATTAATGTCATCTTCACTTGATAGTTCTTTTCAGGAATCTTTTTGAGCCACCTATCCATTTTGTAGGGTTTGTTTAGTTAAAACTGGGCTATGGCATATTGTATCTCTAAACCTAGTAAGAAAATGGAGAAGTAAGGGTACCTCTAACAACTAAGTTTTTAGGTATTGTCATTGTTATTGTTAGTTGCCATCAAGTTGACTCCAGCTTGTAGTGACCTCACATTTCAGAGCAGGGCTGCCACACAGGGCTTTTAAGACTATGACCTTTCAGAAGCACATCACCAGACCTGTCTTCCAAAGCACCTCTGGGTTAGTAAAGTATACTTTGTTTCAGACACAAATGAGTATAACTAGAAGTTGTGATATTTTTCCTGCATCTGAATATATTGCATTACGTACCCTCTGGAGCCCACTATTTAAAGCATGGATATTAGCACATGTAATGTTTTCCTCTCACGAATGCCAAGAGTTAGAGTGTCAGAGAGATGAGGGAGGTCTTGGCTTGGCATCCTTGATACCCCCCCCAAGCACCTGTTGCAAACACAGACTGATCCAAGTCTCTGAGGCATCTCCTTCACTGTCTCTCCCAGAAGCCAAATGACTCAAGGGCTAGGATTCTCTGCAGCTCTTGGCAAAGAGCCTCTCACCAGAGTTCCGGCAGAAAGGAGGCCAGGCTCATTGGTCCAGGGCTCAGTCGTGGGGTGATAGGTAGAGAGGCAGCTTTGACCTTCTCTCATGTTTTCTTTCCAGATCCAGGATGATCCCAGTCTGTGCACGGACAAACCCTCCGTCTCAGCTGTCACCATGGAGCTGAGCAAAGAAATGCTGGATACTATGTTAGATGGGCTGGGCCGCATCCGAGACCAGCTCTCTGCCGTAGCCAACAAGTGACCCTGGCCAGCTGCTGGCTTCTGCTCCGTGCTTCAGCAGCCCACCAGCAGTGGTGCACCTCGGACACGTGGGAGGCCCGCAGAGCAGCAGCTGCAGCCAACAGCAAGCAGGGTGTTAGGGGCCGAGGGGGTGGCCACCGTCCGGAAGGCACAGTCGGAGTGGGAGGGAGCGCCAAGCTCCTCACCATTCTTGTTCCTCTTCCCTTTTTCTTTCTCTGAAGCTGGTGAACAGAAGCCTCTGTCTTTGAAGGACTCTTCAGTATGGCCTAATTTCCTCTGTGGCAGCGCAAGGAAACATTTGTCTCATCAGCTGCCCCTGCGTGGCTATTTGGGAAATTCAGGCCCAAACCATGGAGCTCGTCTAGTACGTTCATTTCCAACATTAGCTCTAATTAGGTCATTTCCAGCCCTGGGACATGTGGAGTGAAGCAGGTGGGTGACCTAGCAGGTCCTGCTTCTCTGTGAGAGGAGCCAGACAGGTCCCACAAAGCAGTGCCATTGCAGAGTGGCCACAACCTTCCCCGAGCCACCCCCAGCCCTGTATTGGAAGTCTGAAATGGTTGCTAATTCCCTTCACCATGAAGCCAAGGCTCCTTCCTTGAGAAAAGACAGCTATTCCAGGTAAAGGAGTGGGAGTAATTGGAAATAAATGACATTTCTAAAATGTTCATGATTCTGGTCACGTGTCTTATAGTTTCTATCCTTAGCTTGAGTTGCTGCCTTAAGCCGGTGCTGCCTCTCATTCTTAAAGATGATCCCAGCCTCCCAATTCCCAGCCAGGCCCTTGGTGTGAAATGAAACCAAGCCTGTGATCCTCACGAGCATCCATGCTTCTGTCTCATGTAGAGCAAGAAGAAAGCAAGGTTGATTGATGGTCAGTGTAGGCTTGTTAGCAGAGCTCTGAGGAAGGCACTTCTGTCTCAGTTCTCTAGTGCTGCTGTAACAGGTATCACAAGTGGGTGGCTTTAACAGATTCATTTTCTTACAGTTCAGGCTGGAAGTCTGAATTCAGGGTGTGAGCTCTAAGGCAAGGCTTTTTTCTCTGTGTTGGCTTTTGCCCTATATCCTTATCTCTCCAGCATCTATTTCCTGGTTCCTTGGAGCTCTCCATGTGGCTTGGCATCTATCTTTCCCTCTCTCACCTTGCTTAATCTGATCCTTTTATATTTATTTGTAAGAGATTGATGAAAGAAACACCCTATACTAATCCTGCCTCATTATCATAACAAAGACAACTCATTCCCAAATGGGATTATGACCATAGGCATACAGTTTAGGATTTACAGCACATATTTCTGGAGGACACAATTCAATCCATAACACACTTCTTACAGTTTAACTAAATGAGATCACCTTTGTCACATGCCTGACACATTGGGATGTAGTGTGCAAAGATTTTCCCTTCATTATCCTGATC